AATAAGAGTTTTCAAAAGACAATTTTTTTAAATTATGAACTACTATCTTTTTCGTTATCTTGAAGGCTTCTTCTAAGTCTTCTTGGTTGATTTCCTGAAGTTCCAATGTTGTTTCGTCTTCTGGAGGTTCAGGGATATCTATTTTAGGAATCTTCAGTTCAAAATTGAAGTTCTCGCTGGTTTTTGAAAATTTTTGATTTTGTATTTTCACAAAGCATTTTCCAAAAGAAACTAGCGTTGCATTGGTTATAATTTCCATATGGTTTGTCTTGTCACATTGAATAACTATAGTCAAACTTTTCTTAGGGATGACTAATAGTACCGTTGTCCATTCGGGAGTTATCTCACTGTTGGTTTCTCATATTTCACTTTAGTAAAAGGACGTTGTGGTAGGTCAGTAACCAGGTCATGATTCTTCTTCCTTCAGCTCTTCTTGGTTACAAAGGTACACATTTTCGACTTTCGGGCATTCCCATAAAGTATTGTAGTAAATGTCCGTAGTAAGTAATAGGTAATAAGGGTATTTATTCCTAATGGTAAGTTCTTGGATAGGAATTGGATAGATTTTATACAATATAAAGGGATTGGGATCAATCATTGGTCATTGGTGTGTGTATAACAAATATAATTAACTCATTTTGGACTTTTACTTGAGTTTTCATAGTCTCGTAACACTTGATTTTATTATCAAAAGGTATTTGCTGACTTTTGGGTATATTTGTTAATGATTTAATTCATTATGCAGTAAAATAGTATAATGCATTATTCCCAATTGTGCAAAATTTATTGCTAATTGCACATGATCAATTAGATTCCTTATTTTATTACTTTGAGAAATGTTTTTGTAACTTGTTTTAATACTTGAGCTTGTGTTTTTAGATCTTCATTGAGAGTCTTTTGATTATCATTGAGCGTCTGGATATAAGAATCATATCTTGCGTCGTCTTCAGCATCTAGGGTCCCGTAGAGCCATTTTTGTGCTGTGCCCATGAAATTTAATAGACCTCTTTTGTTTCGTTTCGGTCTTGATAGGTTTTTATGACTTGTTCCATAATCTTAATTTGAGAATGACTGTTTTCAATATTTGTATGAAACGGTGCAACAAATTTGTTTGACCATGGGGACTTTATTTGAAATTGATGCAACTTTGCGTACACGCAAATTACATCATTCGCGATTGAAAATTGGTTCACGGCTTATTTGACATGCACTTTTTGAATCGCAATTTACGTCATTAGCGTTATATTTGCGTGTACGCAAAGTTGCATCAATTTAAAATAAAGTCCCCCATGTTGTTTTGTTTATAGTGGTGTCAGATAATTTCATTAAGGTAATTTCCAGTTTATGGATAATTTGTATGAGAATTTCATACATCTGCTAAAACTGGTATTTCAACAATGAACTGACATGTTTTGATTGTTGATTTGAACTAATCAGATTGCAATTACGCGATAATTTGCACTAGTGCAAATTATCAGATAATTGCATAGTAACTGGTGCGAAAACTGGTGTTTTGACATTTTTTGACAAAAAATTTAAGTTTTTGATTTATGAAATTCTCTCACTAAATACAACTCGTGCAATGGAAATATATTTATAATTTTCGACAAATTTGCACTCATGCGTTTTTAACTGAAAAAGGCACTAGTGTGCACTCGTGCTCTTTTTCAACTAAAAATGCATTCGGGCAAATTTCCCAAAAATTATCAATAATTTCCATTGCACTAGTTATATTACTATTGATAATTGTCGGGTTTATGTGATAATAGGCCGTGTTATATTGAGTTGTTATGTAAGTAGTTCCTAAGGAAATTGGTAAAATAGGATTTTTTACCGTCATCAATGTATACGCTTGGGTGACTCCAACGAGAGTAAGAAATACAGTGAGGGATTCATCTCGTGGTACCTGAAATAAATTATTTCCGTTCAGCATTTTGTTTAGCAAAGCGATTCTGTGTTTTGCTATCATAACGCGGACTTATCTTGTCTCTATTAAATTGTTTTATGAAGATTGGATCTTGAAATTCTGGGTTCACGATTTCTACTGCGCGATTCTAAAGACTTTGTTTGTTTCGCTAACAAATTTTCTTGAATTTCTTTATTTAAGTTTGCAAGGGATTCTGCCAAACTTGTTATATAGTCAGTTGTTAGTTTATTTTCTATTTCTTCAATTGGTATGGCATAATCCAAATCTCCTTAAATCACTTAAAAAGGGGTGTGATTCATTGTACTATGAGTACTGTTTATAATTCAATATAGCGATAGTCATTAGATCAATAATACTCTTGTTGGGGTTTTGGAGTTTTAAAATGGTTATACTTTTACGTAGTGTCGAATGGAATCTTTCGACTGGACTATTCGAGTTCGGGTTTCCTGGAGTTGTATAATGAAACTCAATTTTGTATAATGTACAAAGATCTGTCATTATAGCATTTTTGAACTCTGCTCCATTATCTGATGTGATTTTTTGAGGTATTCCATGATCACTAAAATATTTCAATAACTGTGATGATATCTCTACAGCTGTTTTCGTATTTACAGGAGAGGCTTGACCAAATTTTGAAAAGCTATCAATAATGCTCAGAAATTTCTGGTTATTGATCACCAATATAAATATGTTCGAACGGTTTCGTACCAATGGGTGTTGGTTTGAATATGATTTTGTATGGTTGACGTTCATACTTGGTTTTATTGCATATTTCACATACTTTGACATCCTTCTGTACGTCTTTCTCAATATTGGGCCAATAGAATCTTTTCTTTAAGACTGCAATATTTTCAGTGATTCCTCTATGAGAGGTTTTAGTCTCATGATATTGCTGAATTTTCTCTTGTTGAAGATCAACTTCCGTGCGATTGAGGGTCTTCTTATTAAAGAGGTATGACTTCCTGTGTCAATTAATAATTTACACGGTGGATAGTCTATTTGAATAAAAGGCAGTTGGTTGATTTGATAAGCATTTAAAGTTAATGCTGACTCATTGCATCTAAGGCTTGTAACTGAAAATTTTCGTCTTCAGTTTTGACTTGATTTTCTCCAAAATTTGTCTCTTCATAAATAGTTTTGATTTTCGGAACTTTCTTCAGTTTCGAAATTTTCGTCAGGGTCAGGTAATTCGATTTCAAAGATATTATTAAATTCTTCGATTGTATATTTGGAAGGGTATTGATGTTGATTTTGTCCTCGTGGTAGCACTGAAACTCCGGACATAGGTGTCGGTTTGGAAAATTGTTGATTAGTATTTTTTCGAAAGGCATTATTGTAATTTTTGCCAAAAGTTCCTGAACTAGTAGGAAATTTTGTTGGTACATAGTCCTTTTTAGGTGTTATATTAATAGTTTGGGATGGAAACTGTGGTTTCTGTGGTACATACGATGTTTTTTGTGTATATTGAGGTTTCTGTTGAGTATAGGTTTGTTGTGAACGAAATTGCGTATTTTTATTTTTGAAATTTGAAAAATTTTGATTTTGATTAGTAGAATGAGTAAGTCCTCTATTAAATTTCATGTGGTTTTCAGCTAGTTGATAATTTGACACAAATTTGTTAGCTGCATCCAACGTTTGTGGATTTTGAACCATTAAAATTGTTCTTAATTCGGTTGGCGAATTAGTGACTAGATTTTGAATAGCAATAATTTTGTTTTGTTCAATTTTGTTCATTTGCAATTATCGTTAAATTCGGGTCGCACATGATTTTAGATGTAATTCTTTGAACTAAACCTTTTAGTTTATCCAAATACTCAATAATAGTTTCTTTATTAGTTTTAGTGGTATACATTAGCTCTTGTACCAAATTCTGTCTAGAATATTGATCACCATATTCAATTCTCAACGCTTCTCTTATATCGGTCCAGGTTTGTAAATCAAGTCGTGCCATAAGAAAATTTCCCGCGCCATTTATTAATTTTGATTTTATAGCGGTAACCACAAAATTTCCCGCGTCATTTATTAATTTTGATTTTATAGCGGTAACCACATACTCTTTCTGGGTATTTTTACCAGTGTAGTGGGTTTGATAGAATTCATTGATGTTTCTTATGAAATATTCTAAATATTGGCTTTCGCCACTGAAAGGTTTGATAAGTTGAACGATTGATTTTGAATTTTCACTCCTTGTTACGGTTGGTCTTTGATTTTGGTTGTTACTTCTTGAATTAGAATTGTAAAGATGAGTTAAATTGAATTGGGTCAAGAGATTCTCGATTTCATCTTCAGAATCTGACATATATATTTCTTTAAATTGTTAAAAGAAATTATTTTGAAAATTTAAAAATTCAAAATTAGAAAGTTTTATTAAAATTAAAATTATAATTAATTATCCAGTCTTGTGCGTAGCTTTTCTTTAAAATTATTTATTACTTTGGGTTTGTAAATTCTTAGTTACTTTTTATTTTTGATTTCAGTCTATTCAGCAAACCTTTTTGGAATTGCAAAAGAACAAAAATCTTGATTTAAGTCTTCTCAGTAAATCAAAAATTAGAAATTACAAAAGATCAAAAATCCAAAAATCTTAACTATGGAACATCAATTACAAAATGTATAAAGAGAAAGGATGTACTTACTAGGGAAGGCTAATAACAGTAGTCTTTCTTCACACGTTGCTTCTTGTTATTCCTTTTACTCAGTTAACCAATTCGAAGTGGACAGTTTCCGGAACGTTTAATAGCAGCACTGATAATCAAAATTTCACTTTCCCGAACAATTCACTTTTTTGAACTTCCTTCAGTCTTTTAAAATCTTCGCGACAGATTGTATCGAGTTTCCCGAAACTTAAACACTCTATTAATCAGCGTGGCAATTGGTTAATATAACTCACGTTCGATATGAACTTTATTAATGAAACTTGTGTAACTATACCTAAAAACGTAACACGCGTTTCATTATGGTGTTCGAACTCTTTAAAATTCATATAGTATTTATCAATTTTATGATGATCTAAAAAATCTTGGGAAAATAAAACCATTTTGATTAAATACAATAACACAATATTGTATATTGTTTAAATAATATACATTCAATATAAAATATATTCCCTGTACCGCGACATCATATTCTTAAAGTTCTTTCGACTAAAATGTAACGAATTTTATTATAGGGAATCGAATCTACGAAAAACAAGACGAGCATTTTTGGTCTTTATGTCTAAATTGTTTCTAATAATTTAAATCACGGTCACAACCTAAAATAATTGAAATATTTTAACACATTTTTAAAAGAAAATACTAAAATAATAATATTTTATACTTATTATTAGGCCACATTTTTAGTTAAATATCTAAAATACCTAAAGATGAAAAGTCTATATCCGCAACAATTATTTTTTTAAAAGAAAGAAAAAGTTTCATTGGTGATTCAAAAATTCACCATTTATACTTTTTAGCTCCAATAACCACATTATCGATAATAAATTTCAATCTAATCCAATTTTTTTTAAAAATGACTAATCTAGCAATAATTATTTACACAACCATCAATACGAAATGTAATAGTATTTACTATTTGGGACTTAAGGCATTTTACATATACGTTTAGAATATGCTCGATGTTATAGGGAATTTTCATACCTACAATAAATTATAAATTCCTCTTATTTTTTTTTTTGTATTTTATAAGCGTTTGGTAAAAGGCTATTATTTCATCCAAATATCTTAATCTAGAATAATACCAAGCCAAGAAATCAACCAAAACATCTTAGATTTGCATAAGAATGATTTTAATCCCATAATAAGTAATAATTATTGAAAAAAGTTTGCAAAAGTGCAAAATGAGTATTAAAAATAAGGTTTACAAAGTCAACTTAAGCAGATTTCATCTTAGATCTAAACTAAAAATACAAAAATAAAGCTCTAAAATATAATAAAAAAATATAAAAAAATCTCTAACAATATAAAAGGTAATAAATAATATTTGTTTTTGCAAAACTAAGTACCACTAATGTCAAAACAAACTGAATTAAAAACTTCACGAACAAATTGACAAAGTTTTCCCATACATGCGCATTGGGAAGCTATTTTGAAAAAAGCAGCTTATGAGACTAAAATATCTATTGCTTCTGTAAATTCGATGTTTTTATTCGTATACTGATAATAATTTGTAATTTATTTTGTATATTGCTTTTCAAAGTTTTCGTTACATCAAATAAACGAGTAGAAGTATAGTGAATTTGAACTTTTTTTTTTTTTCAAAATAGCAATCACTCTTATTTTATAAACCTAATATCAAAGCTTATAATATGTATTTTTTTAAAATTTAGTTATAAGCAAAATTTAAAATCTTCTCTCACATAACAAATTATCTAACTGAAATTTGAGTACCACGCCGTTCTAATTTTAAGGAAAATCAAGCTCTGATACAAAATTTGGTAAGCAATTTAATATTAAAATACAAAAGATATTTTACAAAGAAATATTTTTGCTCGTACTCACACTAACTACATCATTTACGAACCTCTGGTGGCGGAAGGAGACAAAAAAAAAAAAACGAAAAATCACAGCCGGGCCTGCTTTTTTGTTCTCGGCGATCAGGGGTGTGATATTATATTTTTTCTACGACTATTAAATGTAAATCAACGCCTAATATACGATTTAGTAATAGTAGCCATTTCTTCATTCATCTGAACTCTGCTAATTATTAGAATCTGTATACAGGGTGTTTTCTAATTATCAATATTTAAGGAGGCGATTTTTGAATCCATTTTAAAAAGAAAACTTCATATGAACATTATGTCCTAAACGTCTTAACTTTTGAGATACAGGATGATAAATATTTCAGACATAAATTATTTATTAATAATATCTGTAACACCTCTTTAAATATTTTAATGAAATTTATCATACATGAGTTATATCATGTCTATTTGCTGAGTCCTCCTTTAAAATGCTTATTCTGCTTTTCAGCTTATTATAAATAGGTAGGTATGTATATGTATTTTCCTAGGATAGTCAGTTAGTTGAAATAAATTATAGTTGCAACATTTATTGTAACATGTTTTCGCTAGTATAAATTTTCGGATTGTGTAACAAAATTCCCTAATCCCCACGCCACTGATCGGCTGGTCCCCGGTATTAATGTCAACCTGCTATACGGCCTGTCAACAACTAGATGTCAACCACAGATTATGTCAACATTCTATGATGTCAACGCTCATAGTGTAATAACGCAAATTTCATTTCGATTTATTTGTCAATATACAGTAATTGGCCGCCTGAAGACGAAACGTCGAATTTTAAATTTAGTAACACAATCTTCTAAAGGGGAAAAAGTGACATTTATTTTGAAATTGCTTCTTAAATAAGCCCGGGAAAAAATAAAAACGATTTTACAAAATTTTGGTTTTTTCCGAATATCTCTGGAAGTATTCGGAATCTTTCTAGTTTCAAAACGGCATTCTTTTGGTTATAAAATTGCGCAACTTTGCCGTAATTTAACCGACCCCGTATCTCTTACGGTTACCGAGATCCCAATGATGTGCCTCGAATTTGGGCCACCCGGCCACCCTGTTACTGTGTATCAAGACGCATTTTTTTCTGTTTTTTGTTCTTTGATACTCTGTTTTAACTTGATAAGGTTCTAGCTTTAGTTTTAAGATTTTATTTTAGTACGTTTTTGTCAGCAACATTTTTGTTTCAAGGCGATAAAGCGACTTGACCATACTTTTAAACTATCAAAGTAGAAACCAAACAGTTTATTTTGAAATAGTCGTAGAAAAAGTATAATATTCTACTTGCATGTAAAACTTATTCTGATAAATTATAACTCTTGTCTCGATTTTATCGGCTTACATGCTCATTAAAATAAATAATCTAATATCTCTTCGCTGCACTCAAACCTACAATCAAGATTTAATGCCGATCAAGCACCGTTTGACATTGTGCAGCCAGTTTTTGTCTCGTCATTGTTCTGTCCTATACCTGAAAATAGATCTCTCTGAATCATTTAATTGGGAAAATTACTAACTTACTTTTCCCATCTCGCATCATCAGATTCGTGGGTAAGATATCGTACGTTCATTTGATTTTCTAAGGATCTCAAGTCGCCCCATGTATGGTAATCCTTTAAGAAAAATTTAATTAGTTTTGAGCAAACCAGTAGAGGATTAAAATTACATACCTGTAGCCAAACATGTTGAAGGGATTTATCTACGGTGTACCTTTTTCTTTGTTTGACTTGCAAAAGGTTATTTATTAAATCGATTGCTGAAAAAGGAAAAACATGTAAGTACTTTATTAATTCCTAATGAAACATCAAAAATGTGTTATTTTTTATTATTATGTTTTGAAGTTCAAAATTCGAGAGCGTAAGTGCTTTTCTTAATCCAATAAACCATCATGACTTTTTATTTCATCTTATGAAAAATATTTACCATCTGAAGAAATTTCTTTCCAAGGATTTGGTGGATACATAAATGCGGCATTCTGTATTTGATCGTTGATATCCTCATCTTCGTTAAACGGAAAAGTGCCACTTAGACTAACATAAACTATAACGCCCACACTCCACATGTCCAAGGAACGATTATAACCTTTGTTTCTCAATACTTCTGGAGCTAAATATGCTGGAGTACCGACCACAGATCTTCTGAACGATTTTTCACCGATAATTCTGGCGAAACCAAAGTCGCACAGTTTCACTTGCGGAAACTCTGCGTCAGAGTTTAATAGTACGTTTTCTGGTTTCAAGTCACAATGGACGATGTTTTTACTGTGTAGGTGCTTCAGCGCTACTAATATCTACAAAAAAAAATTGTTAATTTAAGCTAATTGAGGTATCAAAACTGTTACCTGAGTAATTAAAAACTTTGTCACTCTCTCATTAAGCCGTCCCTTTTCGTGGGACAGAATCATTTCCAGCATGTCACCTTTAAGCTTTTCCATTACGACAAAAATTCGTTCTGGCGTTTCGAACATTCTTTCTAAATTAACTACGCCAGGATGGGATAGATTTTGTAAAATGGCCACTTCGTTTTTCAATTGGGCCTCTTGTTTCGTTGGAAATCTGAGTTTGTCGATAACCTAGCACAGAATTTGTTTTTAAATTTAGGGTTAAAGCAAATCCTATTGGTATCTAAAAATACTTCTAATGAACCTGCTTACTTTAATAGCAACTGAACGTCCAGTTCTCCTATGAACACCTCCATACACAATACCAAACTGTCCGGACCCTAAAACTTCATCAGGATATATTTGATAAATTTGACTCATATCAGTTATTTGCTCTTCACTCTGTGTGGAAACTTCTTCTGGTTCTAAAATAGCAAAAATATATTTCAATTAAGATTGTCCAATTGTTCTTTCTTACTTCCGGAATTAGCAGTAACTGGCAACATTGCCTGCCTAATGGTAGTTTCCCAACTTTTAGCCAAATACGCTCCCACACCACTGTCAGGCGGTGGCAAATTTACGCCGTTACCGTCTTGTAAATCATACAACGGATCCTGTCCGACGAAATAGTCGATGTTTGCTGTACGAATTTCAAAACAATGCATCGCGTCGGCTTGTTTTGTCCGTGCTGTGTCTATCGTAAGAATGTCTGAAAGGGGTATTTCTTTGTAGTATTTTGTGCTTGTTTCGGTTTGGAATAAAACAATGGATTTCGTGTCGAGGCGCCAAAAATGTCTTCGGACAGTCTTATCTTTATTGGTAAAATGCACCAGCCAGCCTTCTTTGATCACCTTGGAGCCTCGTCTTTTTGTGTGTTTGACAGATTGTACTATTCGTTGAAGAGGAATGTTGGCACTTGGCGACGACGCACTACTGCACCTAGAAAAAAATTGGAGTATATATTTTCTTATAATTATCAAAGGCCATAATTCCTTACGTCGAGGGGGAGTAATCATTATCATCATCATGCACAGGTATTACTTCAATAAACTTATTGCTACCATTTTCTTGACTGTAACAACTACTTTTATCCTCATCATCCGCTAAGGTGAGATTTGTTTGACTGTCACTACATGAACTTTCTGCATACTCGAAATGAACTAGAAATAATTTTTTATCAACTAGAAAAAAAAAATGCAACAAAATTCGGTACCTCCTGCAGAATCTCTTGGTAGTTCTCCTGTACAATCCTTGGGCACCTTTTCCAAGCACTTCTTGTGAGCATTATAATTGCAATCTTTACATTGCAAGCCTTGCTTGAACAATCCCTTTAGAAGTTTTTTGCAGTGTTGGCACACAGTGGGTCTTGTGTACGAATGAATGACGAATGTATGTGGGATTCGGATCATTCTAGAAGAAGGATCTCGGTCCAGCCAAGTGGGACGACCAAGGGAAGGTGAACGATTGTGGACTTGTTGCGAGTTCTGGGAACGAAATAAAAACAGTTTTTATTTCAACGAAATATTGATGGATGTTGATGTATATTGGGTGTTGACGAATCTATTAGGTGAGCCATAACTTCTAGGGTGGGTATTATAAAGCTACTCTCAGAGTTAACTTAAAGTTAACTTCTGGAAAAAAACATGTAATTCAAAAAGTTAACTTCAAGTTAACTGTCAAAGCAGTTTTATAATACCCGCCCCTCTAGAGAGTTAGTTCTATCAAAATGAGATTTGGTATACTTAGGTAAATGCAGAAAAAAAAAAAATTTTCATATGTAAGACAAAATCTCTACTGGAACTTATCTACAATAACTCTAAGACAAACACACTGAGGAAATCATTACCTACAACTTTACTACTGCAGGTGCAGAGATATTTGCTGATGACTTTGAAAAAGTGTTTACACCAGAACCTTTGGATAATATAAGTCAAAAAACAATGCAACCCTATACCATCTGTTGTTTTTACCCCAAACATCGTTGAGGAGTCGATTTTCGCCCTCAAGAAAGATTCTAGCAACATTCCTACAATATTTTTGCAAAAATGTGTAAAACCTATTAGCTCGCCCCTTGCACACGCAATGACTAACTTGATGAGTAGAGAGAGAATCCCGGAAGAATGAAAAGAAGCTCACATCATCCCAATTCATAAAAAAGGCGACAAGCTTTTTCCAAGAAATTATTGACTGATTGACAATAATAATGAATCGTTTCCTCGTTTCTTAATAAAAACACATGGATCTGCATCAGTTGTGTCCCATACTCTAAAAACATCCACAAATCGCTTATTCTAGCAACAGGGTGCCTGCTTGAGCCCATAAAGACTTCTCTTCAATCTATAAACTTTGTCAGCATTATCTTCATACCAGTCTGGCTGCTTTATAAAAATTTCTTTATCCAGATTGTGTTAAGGGTCATATTTTGGATTGCTGCGACACTTATGACTGCCCTAATAGATGCCAAATTTGCTCATCATAATCTTCTCCCATCTTTTGAGAAAACCCTTTGATTACAAGACGTGCTTTAAATTTCTCAACTAAACCATCTGGATTAGTCTCAACCTTGAACACCCATTTACATGGGTTAGACTTTGTGTGTTTTTTTTTTTGTATTCAAACTTCAATTCCACCTTGAGATTGCAGATCAAGAATAGAAATTCTTCTGGGTATGATGGAATGTCCATCAAGGTGTTTGAAAATCTTTCAGAATCTGCTTTGCTTTCAGTCGTAAATGCGATTAACGTATCTTTCGAAACTGGCGAATTTCCATCCTGCTTGTAATGGGCGGTTGTGATTCCTTTGCACAAGGGGGGTAGTTGCGAAGATCCATCTAATTTCCGCCCTATATCGCTACTTGCTACCCTTTCAGAGGTCGTTGAGAAGTTCGTGAAATCGAGGCTGGTTCATTTTGTCATGTTCATTTTCCATCGGCATTTAATGTGATAACAGCCTCTCAATTTTGTTTTCAAGCATCTAAGAGTACGAGTGATGCAGTCTTCTCGCTTCTGGAGATCCTTTACACAAGTCTGAATGGCAGAGATGTGGCTGCAGCAGTGTTTTGCGGCTTTTTAAAGGCCTTCTACTGCGTAAATCGCGAAGTGCTGCTGCGGAAACATCACCGCTGTGGTACCGGGGAAAGGCGAATCTATGGTTCAAAACATATCTCTCGGAGAGGGTTCAGGTGGTGAAAGTTGGCGATGATGAGTCGGCTCCCTTGCTATGTCACTATGGTGTACCGCAGGAATCGGTGTTGGGACCTGTTCTTTTCTTGGTACATATTAATGACCTTGCGATGGTGAATATTCGGGGTGAGTTCACTCTCTTCGCGAACGACACCACTCTTCTATGGCATGCGGAAACAGGGAAACAGGCAATAATATCAGGGAGATGATAACTATACGGATCTACCAAAAATTAAAAGTTGGACAACAAACTTAAATTTGATAGTCACATTTCATCATCCAGCTCTAGGCTGGCCTCTGGTTGCTTTGCTATTAGAGTCGTTTCTAACGAATTGGGTACCCCGACGGCAAGAATGGCGTATTTTTCACTTTTTGAATCGCACCTTCGATACGGTATAGCATTTTGGGGCTTTTGTAATCAACAATTGTTTAATTCAATATTTGTTCTGCAGAAAAAAGCAATGAGATTTATGTGTCGGGTGGGAGTAAGGGATCATCGCAGACCACTGTTTATTACACAGGGGATATTGACAGTAGTGTCTTTATTTATTCTTAGAACAGTGTGTCTGATTCACAAAAAATCGTGTTTTGAGGTCCCTGACCGTTTACATAACACAAGGTTAAATGCAAACCAAAATCTACGTCTCCCTATTCTCAGACTGACCCTCAAAAAAAAATCCATTATACATGAAGGCCTCAGGATATATAACCATTTGGGCACCGAATATAGACAATTGCCATACTCGCGGTTCAGGAAAAGGGTGAAGAGTGCATTGATGGCAAGGGCTTATTACAGTCTGGAGGCGTATTACGATGATTGGTTTGTAGCGAGGTTTCAAGTTTGGAGATAACAGTATCCCTGATCCCTACCACTTTTATTTAACAAAATAAATATAATTTATGTAGGTATATCAATTATCCAAAAAACGAAAAATAAAATTATTCTATATTTAGCGCCTAAGTTTAAAAGAAACCTGTATGCCCTTACTAATTCTTATAAAAAATATTAAATATTCATGTATTTTACAATTAAAGTGTTTGAATATGTTTAATGCAGCTATACATTAACAAATTTAAACAACAAAGATAACAAAACAAAAAAAAAAAAAACAAAAATTCAAAAAAGACATGTAAATTTTTTTTTAAACAAAACATTAAACTTCTTATTTCTTTCGGCCCCTTTGATACTACCAGGAATTAAGTTATAGAACTTAGGTGCTAGGTATGTCAAAAAATGCAGATTTAAGTCACATTTAGATTGAGGAATGTTTAGATTTTCTGCAGTGTTCGCTCGAGTTATATGAGAAATAATGAGAATGTGATACATCATTTGACTTTAATTGTTCATTTCCATGTACAAAACTGCATACAGCAAGAATAGACAAGATTTTGATATTACTTATTTCAACGGAATAAAGTTGCTTTGTAGGGTACAATCTTGGCCTATCCAGAATTATTTTAACAATGTAGTTCTGGATTACCTTCAACTGTCCCAGGTTTGTACTATACATTGCTCCCCATACAATTATGCCATATCTTAGAAGGGGCTCAACAAGTGCCTCATAAATCATTACTATTGTCTTCCGACTCAAAATGTTACGCAGAATATAAAATTTATGAATGAAAAATCTAATTCTTTTATTCAAGTAAAGCACATGTTGTTCCCACTTCAAGTGTTTATCAACAACAATCCCCAAATACTTGATATGAGTTACCTCTTTCAATGGTTCATCTATATTGTCAAGTACAATATGATCAAATCTTGGTCTATTTGCCATATTTATGGAGAAAGCAATATAATGGGATTTTTTTATATTTAAGGTTAATTTGAAAGTGTCTAAAAAGGTTTTGATTTTATCGAAGCCACATTTTAGTTTTGAGCGTGCCAACTCCCATGTCTTCGCATGAAACACCACCACTGTATCATCAGCATATGCTATCAGCTTTCCATCAACTTCAAGTTTACAGAGAAAATTTACATAGACATTAACAAGTATGGGCCCCCAAGCACCGTACCTTGTGGAACACCATGTTGAACTGTTTTTGGTTCACTTAGGATCTTTGCAATCTTAACAAATTGAGTCCTTTGAGCCAGGTAATCAGCAAAGACATCCAACACGGTACCCCTAATCCCATGCATCTCCAAGACTTGAAGAAGCAAGGGATGCGATACCGTGTCAAATGCCTTCGCTAAGTTCAGAAACAAAGCAATGCATTTATCACCATTGTTCAAGTGAGACATTATTTTTGACACTAGTTCATGCATTGCATGTGACGTACTCAAACCCGGCAAGAAACCAAATTGATTTTTAGATAGTAAATTATTGGAGTTCAAAAACTCAACCAATATAGATTTAGGACATTTTTCAAAAATTTTTGCCACATTTGAGATGACACTTATTGGTCTATAGTTGTTTATATCTTCTTTGTCTCCAGACTTATGTATTGGTGTTACAACGGACGTTTTGAATAATTGTGGAGGGACTTTTCCTGTTTTAAAAATTAAATTAATAATATAAACCATGGGATCTAAGAGATAAACATGCAGTTGTTTAATTATTTTGGTGGTAATTTTGTCTAATCCTGGAGAATAACCATTTTTTAAACTATTTATGTGTTCTATGATTTCATTTCTGTCTGTTGGCTTCAAGAACATTGAGAAGGAAGGACTGTCAGTGAAACGAAATGGACTTGTTGGGTCTTCAATTTTATCAGACATTTGTTTGCCTATATTTGAAAAAAAATTATTTGCAAAGTCCGCAATCATTTTCCTGTCAGTAATTTTATCATGATTTCCATCCCTTATGCAAGTTATAATTTCCCTTGTTTGCTGTTCATTTGTTGCCTCTCTAACTAGATTATAAACTTTTTTAATGTCATGTGAGTTTTGATTAAATTTATCCTTGAAATAGTCATTCTTTGTACATTTAATGATTTTATTAAGGCGATTTCTGTAATCCTTATATTGAAATATTTTAGTGTAAGACGAATTTACTTTAAGGGCTTTTTTCAGCTTATCTCGATTTTGTATAGACCTTATTATCCCACCTGTAATCCAAGGTTTACTACTTTCTTTGAAGTTGCCTTATTCTTGTCTCGTAAGAACATATGATCCAGACAAGTTCCGCTCTCTTCCCGCGTAACTTCCTGACACAGTGGGGCATATCCATACGAAAACATTGTGGAAAGATATCTATTTACATCAGCACTGTCCCCATCAAGAAGATTGATGTTGATATCACCCAAGAATATGTCAATATTACTATAAGGGTTTGAATTTGTCTCAAAAAAAAAAAAAATTA